CCTAATAGGAAAGCAAACAAAGAGACCAAAACAGGAGGAGGAGCACCATATGATGACAGAAGCAGACATGCCAAATGCTGTGGCTGCAACAAGAAATGACCAAGATTTGTGTCAAACCATCTGAGCTCAGCTAGGTAGTAATAAGGGGGTGAGGGGTATTTGCCCCCACAGACTCTAGAGGGAACATGATCCCATACACATAATGATTTTGTACTTTTAGACTCCAGAACTGTGAGACAATACATTTCAATTAATTTAAACCTCCCAGCTTGTGGCATTGTTCCAGCAACCCCTGGACACTAAGACAGCACCCTTTATCCATTTTCAAGGCAAGTAATGATGGGTCAAGTCCTAAACACATTGCTTTTTTCTGATCCTCCTTCTGTCTTCACATCTCTCTCTGACCTCAATCACAAGAGGTTCTGTCTCAGTTTGTTCAGGCTGTTATTAACAAAACAACATGGATGGGGTGGCTTGAAAAGGATAGAAAATTACTTCTTACAATTCCAGAGGCTGGGAAGTCCAAGATCAACGTGTCAGCAGGTTAAGGGCCCATTTTCTAGCTCCCTGATCGTTGTCTTTTCATGGTCTTCACCTGAAGGGGTAAGGAGGTGCTTGGGTTCTCATTTCTAAGGGCACTAACCTCATTCACAAAGGCACCCCTCTCATGACCTAATCTCCTCTCAAAGGTCCTACCTCTTAACACTTTGGGGATAAGTATATCAACATATGAAACATTTGCATGAAATACAAATATTCAGTTTAGAGGCAATTCTATGCCTTTAAGGATTCATGTGATTACATTAGTCCCACCTAGACAACTCAGGATACCATAGTTGAAAGTTTCAGATCACCCTTTAAAGACACCTTTTATAGATCATTATAAAGCATCAATATAGTGAGTGATTTTTTTGGTGCCGATCTTGAATACACATCTTTTGGAACATCCTGAGAAACACATTTAAAAGACGAATGAAAATAATCAACAAACCTAATACCATGCAAATGAGGACTTGCTGTTTGGGGAAAAGTTTGCAGCGCAGCCTTATTTGAAAAGTACAGTAGTATCAACACAACACAATTTAGGTGACAGTGGAAACAGTCTGCTTTGGAAATCTGTGTTAAATGGTTTCAAAAGCATAGAACACACACAGGTCAAAGATGTGCATGAAGAATTTAAATAGTTTAGAAAAATACATTAATAGCTATGGAGTAAAACTGGTGAAGAGAAAGGAAAGATTGTTTTATGCAATCTTTTTTTTTTTTTTGTGGGACCCTCGCTGGCGGCCGGGGAACGAACCGGCGCTGCAGAGGCTGCAGGCAGCCTCGCAGCCCAGTGCTCAACCACTGTGCCAATTCTTTTAAAGATTTTAAAGATTTTATTTTTATTTTTTAATAATTTTTAAAAAAATAATTAATTTATACAAGCACTGGGCACAGTCAGAAGCGCGGGAGGGTGAGAGAATTCACCAGAGCCAGAGCAGGGAACAGAACAGGCAGACTGACGAAATACATTGCTGAGGGGAGCAGCAAGCATGGCAGGAGAGGTCTGTGCGCCATGTGGGACCCTTGCCGGCGGCCGGGGATTGAACTGGCACTGTGGAGGCTGCGGGCAGCTTCGCAGCCCAGTGCTCAACTGCTGCGCCACCGGGGAGGCCCGTTTTATGCAATTCTTAAAATATACAGATTCAATTTGGCATCCTACTCACTCTCTTCTTAATAACCTCAAATGGGCAAATGGGAGCTGACTCTTGGCTTGACTTGGGCTTCAATCTTATTCAAGGATTTCTGTTACATTGGGGGCCTGATTATTTTGAGGGTTTGTCAGGTGGAAGCTATTGGCTAGAATCAGGATCAGAGGCTGCAAGCACAGCTGCTCATCCTGGGTTCTCTCATTCCAGGGGTATTTCAGTTTCCTCTTAAAGAGAGCAGGGCATAGAGATCTTGCCATCAGTGGCTCCACAGATCACAGAGAGAGGGCTGCTCACAGTCACTGCTACCCCTTCATCAGCCCTCAAAAGAGACTTAAAGGAAATGAGGACAGTTTGTTGTTTATGGACAAGATCTGCACTATAAAACAGAAGTGCTTTATCATCAACAACATAGGGGATATGGTTGACATCTATTTTGTTTTTGTTGTAAACACACACAAGGACCAACATAGACAAATCAAGTGGATATAAACATTTAATACAGACACCAGAAAGCCTTTTTTCTACTCTGAAAATATAAAGTTAACTAAATTAATAGTCAGCTAAAGGCAAGCTTAATGAACCCTAAGTAGCTGATGACAGAACTGAAACATTAAGGAGGGGATGGGAGAGAGGTAAGAACTAAGAGAGAAAGAGTCACAATCTATGGGGGTGGACCATGGGTGAGCTGGTGGTGGGTGCATTAAGGAGGTAAGACCTGATGGGGGTATCCCAATACTAGCTCCATTAAAATAACAGCAAATGAATGAATGAATAAAAAGAAAATGTTTTGTGTGGTATGGTCAAAGAGACAGGCTGAAGAATCAAACTGCTGGAGAAATACTTAGCTGACTTAACTGGCACTTGGAGAAACGGACTCTTTCAAATGTGAGCTGACTGTGTTAGGCCAAATGCATTTTTTTCTTCAGAAATGCCTTGTGTAATTGTTTATGCTACATAAAGTTTCATATGCATGTACTCAATCAGCCCATGGAACAGTTTAGCAGAATCATGCAGGAAAAGCAGAGGATGACAGCATGGAAAGAAAGTTAATTAAATAAAATGCCTGACAGAAAACCACAGCATTTGATTTATCTCTCCTCTACCTAGCTGGGCTCCTTCCACCTTCTTGTGGCTGTTGGGCATAATCCTTGGGGATCATGAATGGTTCTTCTTATTGCAGCTTCCCTGAATCCTTTGTGAAGAAACTTGCTCCTGGGTGGAGCACACCCCACCTTTTTTCCAGCATGTGCTTCAGAAACAGAGATGGTTTCTAGCTGTGGTTTACCTCTCCAGGGACTGAGCCCAGTGCAGCCCTGCCCAACTCCATCCCCCCCAAACCATGGACATGGAACAGATACAAGAAATAATGACTAGAAGTGGCAAAGCTCTTAGGAACAGAGATCCTTCCTGAATCTGTTATTATGATAACAGAGGCACAAGAGTTGGGACTGAGGAAAACTCAGGGGTCCTTCTTGTCATCATTAAAGCTGCTGAGGTCTATGGTATATCTAGGCCCTGTGCTTAGAGCTTTCCAGACTTTCAGTCCTCACAATAACAATGCTAGCAGCAGAGTAGATACTGTTAGTGTTCTTTTTTTTTTTTTTTTAAAGATTTATTTATTTATTTATTTATACAAACACTGGGTATAGTCAGACGTGTGGGAGGGTGAGAGAATTCACCAGAGCCAGAGCAGGGAGCAGAACAGGCAGAATGATGAAATGCACTGCTGAGGGGAGCAGTGGGCAGGAGAGGTCTGTCGCTCCATGTGGGACGCTCAACGGCAGCTGGGGATCGAACCGGGCTGCAGAGGCTGCGGGCAGCTTCGCAGCCCAGGGCTCAACTGCTGTACCACCAGGGGAGGCCCTGTTAGTGTTCTTAAGACACAAGTTACCACTTTCTCTCATACTAAAAATAAATGAGAGCTCGGAGAATTTCGGGAAAACCGAAGTAATGATTGAGAAAGAAGGCAGAATGGATCAGCTCCTAGGATTTAGATCCAGGAACTGACCCACAATTTCAGTGGGGTGCTGCTTGGATGAACGCATGAGTTGCTGGGGGCTCTGGCATTATTCCAGCTGGGGGAAGTAGAGACCCCTGAAGTCTAAATACACTGCATGTGATGGTAGTTTGGTAGATACCCAAAACAAACGTATCATGTTGTTACAGAACCAACTGGGAGAGGATGCTGGAAATTAAAAAAAAAAAAAAAAAACCTAAAAAAAAACCCCCAGAAACAAAACCAAGCCAGCAAGCAAATGTGTCAAAAACAGACTTAGAAAGCTTAACATAACTTACATCACACAGCCAATAAGTGGCGGCGTAGAAACATACCAATTCTTTTTGCCTCAAAGGCTGCCCTTCCCCCACTCTGCCAAGGTCCTCTCAAATCTCCATGGGGACAGGTCCATGCACAACTATCTGCAATTAAGTGGCTGAAGTGAAGAAAGAGGAAGACTGGAGGGTGTGGTGAGTGGATACGGGTAGGAAAGGAAAAATTTGGTCTTTTAAGCAAGAAATTCTCACGATATTTTTCTCAAACCTCTTCCTATCCAGGCTTCCATGACACTCCTGTTCCAGTTTTACTACTCTTCCTCTCAGATATTCTGGCAGCAACTCCTAATCTAGTCCTAGATGTAAGAATGTTCTAGAACTTGGTCATAAGTCCTTTTTTCTTCATCAACTCTCATCCATATACCAACTGACTGCCTCCAGGGTTCTTCATGCCTTAGCCCCACCCTGCTTAGTTATTCTTGATTCTTGTTCATGGCACAGTAATTTAAGGCTCACTGGCCTTTTTCTTTTTTGTGTTCTGATATGCCAGCACAGAATGACGTCCAACATTTATCCTTGCTATTCTGTCTTCCAGAAAGTTCAACCTCGACCACATATCCAAGTCTGCCTGATTCTAGGAGGTCCAGCTCAGTTTCCAGTATCTCCAGAACATCTAGGTTTCAATGGCCACACCAGTTTCCAAGAGTCTGGGCTGTTTTTTTTTCCTGCGTTATTCATTATGGCCCTTTGCCACATAACCACTTTATGATCCTATTTGATATAAGGTTTCCCTCACTCTCCAAAAGTACAACGTTCCCAGTGAAACCTCTGAGAAGGAGAATGGTACAAAGTGGAGAAATTACCAATAAGGTATATGCAAAAAAAGTTTCAGTGTTCTTTAGACCAATTAGTCTACCAAATCCTAACAACACATAAAACCAAAGATGACACTCACATCCAGTAAAAGCAGGAATGATAATGACCCACAGTAGGAATAAAGTAGCAATAACCAGCGTACAGTGTAGTTTCACTTACCGTCATGTGGGAGACAGCGAGGGCTGGGGAAGGCTGAGAGGTGATGATAATGGTGTTAGGCTGAGTCTTGGGAGCTCAGGGTGTGGGAGGCACAGGAGACTGGCAGGTGGGAGAGAGAGGAAAGCGTCAACTATTAATATCCCAGGCCTCCCTGGTGGCACAGCGGGTTAAGCGCCGTGCTGTGAAGCTGTCTGCAGCCTCTGCAGCATGGGTTCATTCCCCCCAGCCAGGGAGAAACCCACATGGTGTGGCAGACCTTTCCTGTATCACCCACTGCTCTCCTCAGCAGTGTATTTTAGTCAGTCTGCCTGTTCTGCTCCCCACTCTGTCTCTGGTGAATCCTCTCACCCTCGCATGCCTCTGGCCTGTACCCCAGTGCTTAAATAAATAAATTAAAAAAAAAAAAACAAAAAACTATTAACATCCCGTCCACCTCTGAACCTATCAGAGCTGGCCAGTTACTAACATCGATATCTACCCAGTCTGCCTGCCTCCATGTCAAAGGTGGAGTTTCCTGACCTGCTGGCTGACCTAGGGGATGTGGAAGGCTTGAAATATGACGGCCTAACTGCATGGTCTCTGACTTTTTTTAGGCACTCTAGCCATCCTGTCCTGACCTAAGCCTACCTGCCTTTCAACATTGAAACCACACTCTCCTGCCACCTTAGCATCCCCGTCAGTAGCGGGGAAAATCTCTGTCAGTGTCTTATGTTGAGCTCCAGCCCTGGCTATCGCCTTAAGTTTTCCTTCACATGGTTTTTTGGGTTTTATTTTTTTGCATGCTTCCATTTATATTAAAAGTCCATAGTAGGGCCTCCCTGGTGGCGCAAGGGGTTAAGACGCAACCTATGAAGCTGTCTACAGCTTCTGCAGAGCCAGTTCGATTCCTGGCCAGGGAGCTACCCACATGGCACATCAGACCCTCTCCTGACTCGCCCACTGTTCCCCTCAAGCAGTGCTTTCACTCCATCTGCCTGTTCTGTTCCCCACTCTGTCTCTGGTGAATCATCTCACCCTCCCATGCCTCTGGCCTGTACCCCAGCTATTGTATAAATAAAAAATAAATCTTATAAATAAATCTTAAAAAAAAAGTCCAGGGCCTCCCTGGTGGCATAGGCGGTTGAGCACAGCACTGTGAAGCTGTCCACAGCCTCTGCAGTGCCAGTTTGATCCCCACCTCAGAGGAACCCACATGGCGGAGCAGACCTCTCCTGGCTTGCCCGCTGCTCCCCTCAGCAAAATGATGTAAAAATATATAAAATAAAATTAAAAAGAAAAGAAAAAAGAAAATAATCTTAAAAAAAAAAAACCAAAAAGCACATAAAACAATCGCACCACTCTCATACCCTGGCAACCGCTAATCTACATCTTGCCTCTATGGACTTGTTTTGGTTTTTTTTTTAAATCTTTCTTTATACAAGAACTGAGGTACAGGCCAGAGGCGGGGGAGGCTGAGAAGATTCACCATAGACAGCAATGCACTTCGGTCACTCTGCCTGTTCTATTCCCCGCTCTGTCTATGGCGAATCTTCTCAGCCTCCCCCACCTCTGGCCTATACCTCAGTTCTTTATAAAGAAATCTTAAAAAAAAAAATCAAGTCCATAGAGGCAAGATGTAGATTAGCGGTTGCCAGGGTATGAGAGTGGTGGGATTGTTTTTTGTGCTTTTTGTTTTATTTTTTAAGATTATTTTCTTTTTTTTAAAATTTTCTTTTATGTATTTTTACATCATTTTTCATTTTTGCACAATGTATGCATTTTCATCTTGGTTATAGTCCCCATACAATTCCCACCCCCCCTTATTTTGACCCTAATCCCTCCTTCCCCCACCCCCTATAGTGTGTCTCTGGTTTATAGCTGCTTGTTGATTGTGATTTTTACTTTATTATAATTAGTCTTTTTCCTGGTCCCTTATGTAGGTATTCTAAATTCCTCCTATGAGTGAGACCCTCTTTTCTTTAAAATAATTTATTTATTTATATATTTTTACTTTTTTTTTTTACAATGTTTGCTTTCTTTTCTCAGGTGTTGTCCCCACAGAATTTCCACCACCAGTTCCCCCGTGTACACATGGTTTTACCTTAAACCTAAGACCCTCAGCGACTCTGAGGCGCCTCCCGCACCTTGCACCTCGAGGCACATCTTGCCCACAGCACGCGAAGTAAATCGAGACAAAGCACAGATACTCACAGGCGCGGCTCCAAACTATGGCGGCTCGAGGGCCGAGACTCTATCAAGCGAGGGCCCAGGAAGGCGCCTGGGTTTGTGGCAGAGGGACCGCCCGCGAGGCGCCCCACACCGCGCCTTACGGCAGCAGCTGAAGTAAAAAGCACCCGCTGACATAAACCTCCCGCTGACGTAAAAGCTCCCGCTGATGTAAAAGCACCCGCTGACGTAAACCTCCCGCTGACGTAAAACCGCCCTGAGGGCGATTTGCAGTTCTCCTGTTGTGGTGAAAGCGGAATTCCTCTTCTGATTTCTTTCAGCTGGCGCGACAGGCACTAATTCGGTCTTTGGTAAAAGTGAACTTGTGGGACTTGAAGTGAAATTGCTGAACTTGAGCTTTTGGAAGCTTGGAGGTACCAAGATCTTGTTTCTCTGAATTGTGAGCTTTTGGAGTGAAATTCTTTTAAGGATGGGGCAATAGATCCCCAGCAGATACTCGTTTGGTCCATTTGTTTTACAACAAAATACGCACTGGCTGTAATTTCTATTTAAGAAGAGGGTCTTAGGTCTCCTGTCCACAGCATTACAGAAGAAACTGTGCCTCAGTCCCAGTTTGCTTGGGGTGGGGTGCCTTCATGTAACAATTCAGATTATTTTCTCAAACAGCAAGTCCTCTGAAGGGGCAGGAAGGCACAGAGTAGGATCTCAGTGCACCTATGCAGAAGGGTAAAGGAGAGTCCTCGAGCCCTCGGTGGCTTTTTCAGGCTTTTATTGGCTTTACCAGGTACACAGCAGGCAGGGGTGCTGGGGGGCCTCAGAGGCTGGCAGGCCTCCTAGCCACCCCCAGCAAATCTTCACTCTTTCTAGACTCTCGGGCATTCTCTCGTGGCCTCTGTTTCTCTGCTGGTTCTCTTCTGCTCTCTTGCTTCCTCCTTGTTCTGCCCCTCTGGCACCCTGTGATGCCGCCCTTATGAGCCCAGTCTCTCAGCCCAGGTGTACCCACCTGCGCATGCCCACACCCCCCTCCAGGTGTCTGCCATCAGGCATGCACTTAATCTAATGGCAGGAGGGCAGAAAAGCCTGACAATCATTTACCCTACATCTGCCCAAAGAGGCTTTCTGTCCTCATGTGGGGTGAGATCTGTAAAGCTCCCTAGAAAGGTGCAGAGAAGCAGCAAGCAAGAAATCCTCTGGAAATAGGGGAAGATGCCTCTAGAACAACCTCTGAAGAAAAGTCTCATCAGAGGATGTGCAGTAAAATCTTTGTCATGAAATCACCCACTCCTTGGATGAGGTCTAGCTCACTGTGGTGGCGACTAGTCATGTATGATAGTCCACCACTAGCCCTCTGCTCTGTGGAGAGTCATAGTTTCCTCTCCCACCATTAGTCGATCATTTTCTGGCCTTGGCTTGTGAAGTTTTCTAGGCTAAGACATGGGTTCATCTCATTGAGTTTCCAGTTGTGGGTACATGGCCATAATCTTCCCACCTCAGACCTAATCTTCAGACCTCATCTTCCAAATGCATAGGCCTGAGGCTGTAAATTGAAGCCTATATGAACAGGTTTCCTCAGTAGAGAGGGAGCTGGGGTCAGAGAGAGCAGGAGGAAGGGCAAAAAGCCAGGAACGGAAACCTGGGTAGCTTAAGCAAGCCAAGGGGCTGCCTTTTCGACACATTTTCAGGAATTGGCCGTTCGCAACTTCTGTTATTTCATTAATGGAACTCACACATGTAAGTAGCAGTAGTTGTCTGGGGGAAGGCTATTTATGTTAAGTTTCCCTATGGTTTGCTCTAAAAATCATGTAAAGCGTTTTCCTGTTTTCCTTTGGAAAATGTCTACACTACATCCTGACATTTAATCTGCAATCCTAACGGGGGTGACTAATGTGAGCTGTTGGTTCTTGACTTTTTCAAAAGTAAGTCAACTTAATCTAGTAATATCTTTTTTTAGGCTCACAGGAAAAGGGAAAAAAAGGACAATTAAGCAACACAAGCAACTAGTGTGCTTTCCTTAAGCATTCTTAGTAAAACAAATGTGTATGTGTTTTTAAAGTTTTGAGGGTCTGGTTTAAATAAAATGTTTAACTCTTTGAAAGCCAGGGCTCTAATGTGCTTTTAAAGAGGTGAGTGATTTAGGTGGTGTCTACTCTGTGGCAGCCAGTATCTTGGCATTTGTGGGACATATACAAATCTCTGTTCCATAGGAGGTTGGGAGCAGTTCCATAAGGGGTGGGGTAGACAAAACAAAATGCAGTGCTTGGAAAACATTTTTGGTTTTAATATCAGCCAAAACCATGGGAACTGGCCTATATCCTCAGGGTTTAAAAGAGATCCAAATAGGCTTACCATGTGGAAATATGAACAGCACCAGACAGCAGCCAGGCAGCGAGGATGCTGGTCTCACCTCAATAGAACAAGCAATATGATTATAATTCTGGGCCTCAGTTTCCTCACTTGTAAATATGAGGTTTCTAAAGGCCCTTCTAGCTCTCACATTCCACAGCCCTAAACCATCCGAAAAGGGATGATTAGATGTCCATGTTCTTCCTGTTGATTTCTTGGGGGGGGGGGGGGCGCTCTGTAGCTGTGAGAGCTCTGGCTGTTTGTGGTGTGAACTTCCAGGCCTGTAACCCACAATCCCAGTAAGGGAGAAGTGTGGTGATGATAAGCATTCATGACCAAACCTGGATTTGTAAAGATTCCCTAGTGGTGCAGATCACTTAGGAGACATGTCCCAGAGGCGCTCTCTCTGGTTGTGTCCTACTATTCAGTGGGAAGGCCACAGTTTCAGGGACACACCTAGAAAGAACTTCCTATGAATATGTCTCACTTCTCCTAGTAGTGGTTATAGTAACAGCAGCAGCAGCAGCAGGAAAAGGAGGAAGAGTGATGAACTAATAATTACTAAATGTTTGCTGGGTCCTGGACCTGTGTTCACAATAATGGCCTTGCTGTCTCTCTCCATTCCTCACACACACCATTGAAGAAGAAACTTCATCCTAGGAAAGAAACCCAGGTTCAGGGAGGCTATGGAACTTCTCTGAGGAAATGGAATTCAAACTCAGGTCTGCCTAACCTGTAGGTCTCCTTCATGTACCTGCCAGGTGATACTGCCTCAGCGGTTCAACTTCTGAATTTGATGAGGCGTACAGTATTCAATATTAGGACTGCTGCTAAGTACATCGAGAGGGTCTTCAAGGAGAATTACAATCAGAAACATGCACTTCTCATTAAATAAGTAAAAAAAAAAAAGTGACTTTTATTTAAGAAAGCAGTCATGCTTAAAGGAAAAAAAAGGAACCAGATATCAAATGCAGGCTGGGCTGAGATTATACACACCGTTGCCACCTTCATTTTTGTTTTTTTTTTTTTTGGCTGTCAAGAACAACATGTTTATTTCATTTTAATGGGGTGACATTGTTTTATGACACTGTATGTGATTCAGAAGTACAGCATCACACTTTTCCAGATGTATGTCACCACACCACACCTACCACCAAGGCCCCCATAGCAAGGGTGTTAATGAACCTCCATCTGTCTCCAGTCTCTCTACAAATAAAGATTCAAAAGTTCTCCTTCCTCCTTTTAAGAAATTGGACTATATTCTGATCTTTCCCAATGTATTTGTCTTTGTCTTTAAACAGTTTCCAGTAATCCTCTCAAGGTCTCAAAGATGTGATTTAGATTCTTTCCAAAGTCTTTGGAGCATGAAAGAAAGTGGCTGTTTGAATAAATTATGTATATTCTCATGTGAACTATTATAAATTAGGTATACAAAAGAGCCAAACAGCATGGGAGTGAATAGGATGGATTGTTTTCGAAAAGGAGAGAGATTTTCATTTTTCCAGTCTATTCTTTGACGAACATGAACATTTCCGGACTATTAAATCAAATCATGCAAAATTGTCATTTTGCAGGTCAAACATGCCAAAGATCAGCAATTCCTCATGGTTCAACTTAACAAATGAATTGATTGGTTTCCCTTGAAGCATCAAGAATATGAACCTAAAAGTTTATAGGACTCAAAGAGACTGATGCACTATAATTTTGTCTTTCCCCCTTCCTTCCTCTTGAAGCATTTATTCTGTGACACAAGAAGGCAAAGAATGCAAAATAAAATCTTGAAAATATTTGTAGGGTTTTAGAAGACATGATTATATTAATTACCCAGTTTGATATCCCTAGAAATGAAAAAGGGCAGATGTTTGAATTTAAAGTAAAATCCTTATGTTATTCTGAATTATTTCCAATGGCCATATACAAACAGAACTTTCATTTACAAGTAAACAACAAAATTAAAAGATACTAAACAAGACTAAATTTTTACAAGCTCCAGATCCAAGTGCTAGTGGGAAGAGGATGAAATGCTTGCTTGTTAATACTAATACATGTACCCACTGCATTTTGTTTTTGCATCTGGGCTTGGTATTATACTTCACTGCTATGCAAAGTTTTCTCTTAGTCAAGACCTTCTGAGGGGGCAGTAAGTGGAAATGACAGAATGGTACAGAAAATGCCACTAGCTTATTAGTAACTAGAGAGAGACAAATTAATCATGACTGTGTCAGTGTTCACAGTAGAAGTATCTTTAAGTTGAAAGTTTCCTTTGGGAAGGGGTGTCTGGAACTAGTTATTTCCTTCTATATTCTTCCTTGTAAAGCACCTAATGGTGTAGGTTCTCATTAGAGCATGTAAAAGCTAAACTAAGTATTTCTGCTCAGCATTCAAAATTAAGAAAATTTAGTTCCAGGTTATTTCATATGACATTGTTCATACTGAACTGATAATTGATACAAGGGGAAACTGGGTAAGTATGCAAAGTCTTTAAGGATGCTGTGAGACAAATCCTTTTCTTGTTCCATGAAGCTAATTTCTGAATGGTAAAAACATTTAATATTTCTGTTTTCTTATCCCCTGGACAACAAATGTAAGCACAAATTCCTTTTTTCTTTTTTTCAGGCCAAGAAAATTTTATTATTTTTTAATTTTATATAATTCTTTCATCATTTTTCATTTTTGCACAATGTATATGCATTTTCATTTTGGTTATAATTGCCATACAATTGTACCCCACCTTATTTTGACCCTAATCCTTCCTCTCCTCAGCCCCACACCCCCTGTAGTCTCTGGTTTATAGTT